CAGGGTCTGCTAGCTGGGTGCTGGCAGGCTTGCACCTGGCACGGGCATCGTAGCCAGCCCGTGCCCCTTTAAGGGGTCCAGGGCCGGGAGGGGGGCAATAGAGTTTCCCTGGTGTTGGCCAGAGTGGCCACCAGGGAAAGCTGGGGAGGACTAGCCTCCCACTAGTTCGAATTAAGGGGCTACACACCCCTTAATTTGAACTAGTAAGTTCGAACTAGGCTTAGTCCTCGTAGGATGAGGTTTGCCTAGTTCGAACTAAGCGCTCCGCTAGTTCGAATTAAGTTCGAACTAGCAGAGTGCTAGTGTAGCGCCTATGAAAGTTAATTCGAACTAACGTCTGTTAGTTCGAATTAACTTTGTAGTGTAGACATACCCTTACAGACTTGTGATCAGCTCCCATTGACATTGAATGTGTGCAAACTAATTACAGTTTTTGTGTGTGTATTTTCTCAGCTATGTATATCATTGTGATCCACTGGGGCACACCCAGATAAGGAATCTGTCACCACCTGCCCTGTAACTGTGGATACTTCTGTGCTATACAGATTTGACTCAGAGCCCTGACACTAGCAGCCTGCTCAGAGCAAAATGGCCTCACTCTGGTTTCTACCAACTAGTTTTCCTTTGCAGAATGACACCAACCACCACCACTTGAGTCCCCCACCACCACTACCTTCCCCTGTCACCACAGTGTCCAGTCCTTTTCCCTGGACATTCACAGAAGTTAAGTGTGCTGACTTCAGAGAGACAAAACACGCAGCAGACTGGTAGTTTAGCTGAGAACTTCACCTTTCATCTTAATATACTGAAGTGGTTTTGTAATAAAACAAGAGTAAGTTTATTAACAAAGAAAGGACATCTAAGTGATAATAAATCAGAGCAGATGACAGATGCTTGGTTACAAGTAAAACAAAACCAGACATGTTTTTAACAGCTAAAACTTAACTTTAGCAAGTTAAAATCTTTGTCTAAGTAGGTTTCTCCCCTGTTGTCAGTTCTCAGAGACTTCACCTCTGTTAGTTGGCCTCTTGGGTCCCCTAGGAGATCAATGTCAAAACAGTTTCTGCTTCCTCATGTACTTCCCAAAGTCGATTGTCTTAAAAGCCAGGAAAGTCTCCTGGGGATGCAGGCCTCGCAATATGATCACTATACAGTCTTCCTCCATCATTCATTTAGCTTGCTAACTTTACCTTTTCTATGTAGATCAGAGGTGAGCAACAAGTGGCCTGCAGACCAGATGCAGTTCGCCTGGGTTAGCAGTTGGCAGGCCACCAAACGCTTTATTTACCACCATTTCTTCCACTCCCATTGGCTGGGAATGACAATCTGCAGCCATTCCTGAAGATGCGCAGGTAAATAACACATCCGGTGTCCCACCAGGAGATAACCCAGGTGAACCATATCCAATCCATGGGCCACTTATTGTCCATCCCTGCTGTAGATGCACTTATCATAATCTTCAGAGGTCCAATTTATACTGGAGACACAGGAAAATAAGCAATACAACATTCCTATGTCTAGGACTGGCTGGATTTATGCATTGCTTGCAAAACACCTTCTAAGAATATACTATCAACAAGCACCTGTAATTCTATATATGTCACCCATACGTACATCAGACAAATAATATTAATGCCCAGCTTGGTCACAGATATGCTATCAAGAATACAGAGATGATAATCTCAGCCATCAAACCAAAAGCAATTTGCTCAGTTTTCTCCTAAAGCTCTAAGAAGCATTTCAAAGGCATTTGACTATTGCATTGCTAACAACTGCTTCTGTTCCTTTTATTCCATAGATTCAAAAACCCTGATCCAATGCCCATTAAAATCAATGGAGAGATTCTCATTGACATCCATGGGAGTTAGATCAGACCTTATAAAATCTATATTCTTCTTTGAGTGCTTGCTCATATGTGTTCCAACTGAGGTGTGTGCGTACCATGTGCATGACTATTGGAAAGTTTTTACTCTAACTGCTACCCATTGAGTTAACTGTGGAGCCCTTTGACATGGAACTGGTGTGGTGCACTATATATGACCCTGCTGACCCTAACACCTCTCAGTTCCATCTTACCAGCAGTGCTCCCTCGGGCTTCCTGCTCTTTGTTGTGTAAGTAAAACAAAAAACAGGACTACGCAGCACTTTAAAGACTAACAAGATGGGTTATTAGGTGATGAGCTTTCGTGGGCCAGACCCACTTTCTCAGATCAAATAGTGGAAGAAAATTGTCACAACCATATATACCAAAGGATACAATTTAAAAAAATGAACACATATGAAAAGGACAAATCAAACTTCAGCTTCCCCAATTATCACCTCTAATACCATTAGCTCACAGATATTTACCTCCCCCCCCCCTGTCACAACCATATATACCAAAGGATAGAATTAAAAAAGTGAAATTTGATTGTCCTTTTTCATGTGTGTTCATTTTTTTAAATTGTATCCTTTGGTATATATGGTTGTGACAATTTTCTTCCACTATTTGATCTGAGGAAGTGGGTCTGGCCCACGAAAGCTCATCACCTAATAAACTATCTTGTTAGTCTTTAAAGTGTTACATAGTCCTGTTTTTTGTTTCAGCTACACCATACTAACACGGCTACATTTCTATCACTATTGTGTAAATAAGTTAGATTAGTAGTTAAGTTAGTGTTAGAATTAGCCGTGGGAGGTGAAGGGGATTTTCACCTTCACACCCATGTTCTCTTCAAAGTCTGGGGTAAGCCAAAGTCCCAAAGCTTCAGTCCCTGCAGGTCTTGCCTTAAGTCTCTGCTAATGAGTAGTTCCCAGGACATGTGTCTCCGGTGCCTGGGGGAAGCCCACCAGAGTGACAAGTGCAAGATCTGCAAGGCCTTCAAAGATGTATTGCTCATATCTATTCCATACCCACCAATTGGATTGGCAGGGTCATATATAGGGCATCTCAGTGGTGCCACTCCAGGGGGCTCCACAGCTGATTCAAGAGGTAGCAGTTAGGGTAAAACCTTTCTGATGGTTGCGCACACAGCATGTGCACATCTCAGCTGGAATAGATATGAGCAACATATCTCTAAGAACAATAATTACAAAGGTGCGTGAGTAACCATTTTTCTATATTTGGAACATTACACTGATACAAAATACAAATCCTGTAGTTTGCTACGGCAGGGACCATGTTTTATGTCAGTGCATATTGTCCCATGTAGCAGGGATTCCCAATCTAATATAAACATTGGTTCATAATACTTGTGTGAGGGCTCACAAATGAACACTCTACTGTTTGCTTCTGCTTAATTGTATATGTAAGTCTGGGTGCTAGCTTTTAGGAAAGCATTAACTGTCATGTTTTATATGTGCCAAAGGAAAGTGGCAGAAAATAATTAATCTGAATGTGAATTATTCTGATACTGTGAAGCTAGAGAATGTTATAAGCATATGTGATCAGTTTTTAGCTTGAGAACAGTTGCAAAATGACTACATGTGAAATTTTTAATTTCTAAAAAATCTCCACTGTCATTTGAAAAATAAAATAAACCCTTCTAAGAATTAGGTGACTATAATGCTGTCATTAAAAAAAGTTTCCGGTATTTTATCACTGCCCTTGGTTGACAGATGATGTGACAAAAGGCAGACCATCTTAAAGTTTCATTTTCTGTAAGTTTACATTTAAAAATGTTTGAATGCTTGAAAGAAAACTTTTGTTTTCTAATATTTTAACTTTTTTTTTTTTTTAAATCATTGCATTTCCATTTCATTCTCTATGGCACAGTGGCATATCTATCTGTGGCAACCTATTATGGTATTTGGGAAAATGCGCTGAAATATGGAACTCAGAATGAAGCATCTCATTGCAATGTTGAATAGGGGATTCATGAATATGAGAGAGAATCACTAACAGATGCTAAAAGGAATTAAACTACAATTCAAAATAGATCAAGATAATGTAGTGTTTTATTTCAGCTTGTCAGTTTTATACTGCACAGCAATCCTTGACAATATAACAGCGCATCCAATGTAACTAAAAATGTTCTGGAACCCTCAAAGTTGATCGTTGCTTCCTTCCTTCTCAAAACAGCACAGCTGTGTCTACACTGGCCACTTATTCTGGAAAATCAGCCACTTTTCCGGAATAACTTGCCAGCTGTCTACACTGGCCCCTTGAATTTCTGGAAAAGCACTGACAATCTACTGTAAAATCATCAGTGCTTTTCCATAAAAACTATGCTGCTTCCATTCGGGCAAAAGTCCTTTTCCGGAAAACTGTTCCGGAAAAGGGTCAGTGTAGACAGCACAGATTTCTTTTCTGCAAAAAAGCCCCGATCGCGAAAATGACGATCGGGGCTTTTTTGCGGAAAAACGCGTCTACATTGGCACAGAGTATGCCACAGATTCCACTCTTAACCCACTTGATAAAAATGTGAACTCACCAAAAGTGCTTTCCCCAGCATCAGTGCCCAGCTGCAAGAGGTTCTGGGAGGATGGGATTGTCTCCAAAGTTATAAAAAAGGTCCTGGCTGTTGGTGACATTGGTTGCCCTGCAGAACTGCTGACCATTCTCCTCCTCCTCTTCCTAATCCATGCTGTCCTCCATGCTGCTGCCCAAGGCTACCAAAAGAATGTCTTTGGAGGGTTCCATGCTCTGGCTTGGGAAGCTTGTCAGGTCCCACCCTAGGATGGCATGCTGCTGCCCATAGAAGCAACATGTTTGTGGCGATGATCCAGACCATGCATTTACCTTCTTTGTCTTCTGGTATGGCTGCCTCAGCTCCTTTATTTTCATGTAGTACTGCTTGGGCATCCCTGATGTATTCTTTCTCTTTCATGTGTTCTTGACCTATATATCTGCATTTCTATTGCTGGTTCATAGTTCTGCAAGAACAGATTCCTCTTCCTACACAGCAATGAGGTCCAGGATCTCTGGCATGCTCCATGCTGGTGCTTGTCTGTGACCTTGGGCATTCAGTTAGGTGGGACATCTCCTGGAGGCCAAGAATGTCAACTTTCACAACACTGCATCTGCACTACCGTAAAGTTGACCATGTAAAGTCGAATTTATTATTTCTCCTTGTGAAAAGCTGAAATACCAAAATCGACTTTAGCAGCCCTTAAAGTCAATGGAACAGACTTGGTGGTGTTGACTCATTGCTTAGGAATTCAGTCTAATGCAGTTAATTTTGACCTAAACTCCTAGTATAGATCAAGCCTCAGTGTAGATCTGCTATTTTTTCAGCAGATACCTAGAGCAATGTTTCCCAAAATGTGCACAGCATCCAGTAGTAGAAAACAAAAGGCTGTCCAAGGGGGCGCAGGCAGTTCTCTCCATTGTTCTACAGCATCTCAGCTTTCAGTAAAAAAGCTGAAAAGAAGGGGAGGGAAGTGACATGTAGCTTTCCAAATATCAGGAAACACTATTCTAGACAAAGAAAAACATTTATTTAACCCTTTCACTGTATAGACATGTGATGGGGCAGCCCCAGCGCCCTGCACTAACCGGGCGCCATCCCCGGCATGCTGGGGAGAAGCGGCGGCTCCGCGCCGGCTCCTGCCCTGCGCAGCTTGCTCTGCCGCGGACGGGGCCGAGCGGGGGACCCGATCAGCTGCGCCCGGCTGCTCCACCGCTTCCACGGCCGGGCAGGAACACCGGGGCGCTAACACTGCCCCGTGGCACCGACCTGCGCAGGCGCCCTGGCAGGGCAACCATCCCCAGTGGCGGGGGCATTCCCTCCCCACTACGGAGGACGTCATTGCGGCGGGACGCTTAAAAGAAGCGCCGCCGCCAGAGCACAGAGAGGGAAGGCACACAGCCGGAGGGAGGACACCTGGACAGAGGAACCTCGGACCCCGTCTGCACAGACCCTCGGGACCCAGTCGTCACGGCAGCACAGCAAGGGAGGTAGGAAGCGACCCAGGGCAGGGTGTTGGAACCCGGGGGGTTGGTGTGTTTAGGGGGTTCCGTCCCCCACCAACCAGGACTGAGGGGATTGGCGTATCCCCCCAGACCTTAGGGCGCTGGGTCGGGGCTCGGAGTGAGGGCGGGCCCGAGCCTCCCTACTCCCCTTCGCCGACGCAGACGCCACTCACAGTTGACTGAGCGTGGACCAACCCTGCCAGGCTCGGCGGCAGGGCTTCTGGGTGATCGGGGAGCACAAAGAGGACAAGACCTCAGGTGAGGGAAACTGGAGAGGCCGGGCGGAGGACTCTGCATGGCCCTCGGGGAGGGCCGCGTCGACACTGCGCCTCTCCACAAGACAAAGGAAAAAAAATGGGGTCAAAAAATCCCATGGTAAGTTTATTTATAAGATGTTTAACTAAAACATGCAAAACGTGGTTATGAAAACATTTGAAGTCCATGACTTTGTATTTAGATCGACAGATTAACTTATTAGCTAAGATTGTTTGGATTTTTTTATTTTTAGTCCAACACACATTCAAAGAGGGCAAAAATGGGTTTGTGAATCAGATCCAAACAATTTCCCAAGATATTTCATCATGATCAAGGCAGACTTTTATCAGACAAGATCATTTATATTGGCAGTTTTTCAAAGTCTACCATTCTCAAATCAGGTTAGTTACACTGATAACTCCTTCTTTACTCTGGACATTGATTCAGAGATTGCAATCATGTAGTAAAAAGCAATATGTTAAATTTTAACTGGCCTTTAATAGACCTTTTAGTTTCTTTCTGTTATATACGCTCAAGTTAACTATAAAGAGTCAATATGTATATATTTAGCCCTGCCAATATTAGCAAATAACTGAAGGTTAAACTGAAAATGTCCACTACTCCAGTGTTCAATTACGTCTTTCTGGGTGTTTTTAAGTGTGTAGTGGTGTTGTGCTTAGCAAAGAAATGGGTTGAGTTAATTAAGAAGTTAACTTTTATTTCCTCTGCCCCCCAATTTCTTTCTTGGATTTGCCTAACTGTGTATGATGTGATGCAAGACACATTATTTTTTGCTGAATCCCTCTTTGTTATGAGCTATTGTTCTGATTCAGCATTATGTCCAGACACTTAAAATTGTGCATTCAAGGGGACCCTCAGATTGAGAAGCTCCCAAACTTTTGCCAAAGGTCAGACTAAGGTAAAAAAAATAGTACTTTTCTGAACTTCACCTACAAACTCGCTTTTGCCCATGAGTCTCAGAGGGGTAGGCATGTTAGTCTGTAATTTAATAAAAAGCTTTTAAAAATAGTGGTCCTGTAGCACCTTAGAAACTAACAAAAAGTATCGATAGTATCATGAGGTTTTGTAGGCCCAACCTACTTCTTCAGATGACAAATATCTGCAGAAATGGGTTGTGCCCATGAAAGCTCATGATATTATCTATATTTTTTGTTAGTCTCTAAGGCTACGTCTACGCTACCAGGTTAGGTTACTTCAAAATAACTATATCAAAATAACTCCCAAAATAACTATTTTGAAATAGCCCATCCACACTACAGGGAAGCCTCAAAATTAGTTTGCAGCAGGCTCCCTTAATGTGGACGTGCTATCTCAAGTTAGAGCCCCAAGAAGACCTGGAGAGTAATTACTTTATATGACTCTGGGAAGTAGTTATTTCAAACTAACAGCAGCTGAACGTCCACACTAATCCTATTTCAAAATAGCAATTTCAAAATAGATGTTATTCCTCATAGAATGAGGAGTTATTTATTTTGAAATAACAAGCCTGTTATTTTGAAATAATTTGAAAATAACAGGTTTGCTCTATGGACACTCACCGAAATAACGGAAGTTATTTCGAAATAACTCTGTAGTGTAGACATGCCCTAAGATGCTACAGTACCACTTGTTGTTTTTCAACATTTTTCTGCCTATGAGTCATCCAAACGAGACATGCTTTCAGTAGCTTGTACAGGTTTCAAAATATGATCACGTATCACATGACTTCACAGAACTTCTTGAGCATGACTCCCCATTGGTGGGCCTTCAGTATCCCCATGGGCTCTGTTAGGCTTCTTTGGCTTTGCTCCTTCTTGATCAGGATAAAATTGTAAGTGGTGGTACCTCCTAGATGTAATTTAGATGTAAATTGTGTGGCTCTGTAAGCCTCCCTCTCCTTTCTTACATGAAGAATGAAGTAGTTCATGCTAACATGTACAGTGCCACCACTGGGTAGCTGAGTTAACCCTTCCCTGAGATGAATGAGTAGTTCTCACCTCTCATTGCTGCTCTTTCAGGCTCCCAGCAGACGAATCTCTGTCTTGTTTACACTTATTTCACACTTTTTAAATTTTCCCCACAACCTTACCAGCTGGAGGCTTCTTTTTAATAATAAAAGTTGAGATTCTAGAAAACAAGATATTTACTTCAGAGAGGCACTAGTAGGATGCAGGACTGTACACTGGCTGCTTCCAAGTTTTGAAACATGCAAATTAAAAGGTCAACCTTAAAATGTCCCAAAAATTGCAGAGACTGAGATTCTCCAGTCTGATTGATGTGGGAACATGCCTATGTCCCTGGAGATCCATTGAAATAAATGTGGGCTCTGTATGAACATAAGGTTCTGCACAAAAGGTTCCAATTGCAAGAGTGGGGTCAAATTTGTTTTCAAAAATTTTATTCTCCTGTAGAAAGATGAGGGCCTGAAACATAAGCCCATGTAGCACAGGCCTGGTCTGAGGCCTGGGACCTAGCTAACATCGCTTGGTTAATATAAAGCTAAGCTGTGAGCAAAAGGCAGGACACTGCTCAGGGATGAGAGTGTAAAACACTAATTGGTAATAGGCGCAGCTGTAGAACAGTAATTGGAACTGGTCATAAAAGTTGAGAGCGCATTCCAAAAGGATGGTGACACTAGCTCATTAAAAAATACCTTGATACCCACGCTCCCCACAGATACCAACCCCGGTTCAGGAAAGGGATCTGCTGGTAGATCTTGGAGCCTCTGACAAGTGACCTGACTGATTTGGCCAAGAGGCATGTCAAGTGCCGGCATGTCGGCTGCCCCTCCCCCCCACTGCTGTGCATCTCCTGCCCTTTGCCTTGGATCTGCCTCCCCCCATTCCCAGGAGCCTCCTGCTTGCTGTGCAGGCCAAGGGAGAGAGAAGAGGGGCACTAATGTCAAGGTGCCTCCTTTCCCATCCTGTATCCTATCCCCGCAGAGCAAGGCAGCAGGCACAACAGGACTTGGGATGGAGTTTGCTGGCTGCTTTTGGGAGTAGTGCAGGGCCAGGGCAGGGGTGAGTCTACCTTAGCCCCACTGCACCACCACACAGGAGCCACCTGAGGTAAGCAGGGCCCATCTGGTCCCACATCCTTAAACCCTACCCAGTCATGAACCCCCTCCTACACTCCAAGTCCCTGCCCTAGCCCTGAGCACCCCTGCATTGAAACACTCTCCCAGAGCCTGCACCTAGAACCCCCTCTGGCAACTGCCTGCCCCAGCTCAGCTCAGAGCCCCTCTCACACTCCAAAACCCTTAATCCAAGACCAGAGCCTGCACCCCAACCGAGTGAGGGAGGAAGAGGAGGGAGGGAGGATGGAGTGAGCAGGAGCGAAGCCTCAGAGAAGAGGTGCAAAGGAGGTGGGGCAAGGGCATTTGGGTTTTAGGTAGATCTTGGATTGCACTTAAATTCAAATAGTGGTCTCATGCTTAAAAAGGTTGGAGACCCCTGATCTAATCAAACCATGAGCCACAGGGTGATGGGTGGTATCTAAGTAGCATCTGAGGGTGGTAACCTAACAACATCAGAGGGTGGCAACCTGATATGTCAGTAGTGATGTGTAACTTGTTTCTACCTGAATATAAAGTGGTGTCTTTGGTACGGGGAGGGGTCAGGAGAGCAGCGAAGGGTCTCCGACTGATTGAGTCAGTGCATTGTTACAGTGTGCATATGTGTAGTGTTCAGTAGAATCTACTGACAACTAGTATTGTTCTTTGCTTAACAATAAACCTATCCAAGCACCTTTGATCTTTATCTGATTTGTGGTCTTTGGGGACTCTCTCAGGATCTGCTGTGTTAACTAATTGCGCAAGTCAACACAGCACACATCACTGAGCACGTACCCAAGCAGCTTTCTGGTTATCATCATGGATGGAGAAGAAGATCTGTCAGGACACCGCAATAGTAAATCTTGACACGACAATATCTCCTAGTTCTGAAAAGGAATAATATATAACAGGAGATAGAAATGACAAACTAATTTTATAAAAATTTCTTCACTGTATGGTAAAAAGTCAAAAAAATTACTTACAGGGAAAAAATTAGGGACTTAGGGAAGTGAAGGGAGTCAGGCTTCTAAAATGTTACCTTTTCTTCTTGCAACAGGTTAACATGTATTTAACATAGCTCTTAAAAGCCAAGAATCCCCTTTCACCAACCTTTTTTTCCCCTCTTGACCAA